GCTTGGTACTTTATTTTACTGTGGCTGAGCTGGTACCCAAGTTGCAAAACAAAGCTCTCTGAACTCTTCTTTTTTCTGCAAGTGGAGGAAGACTCTCCCTGAGCTGTACTACCTGGAGTTGGGGGAGGGGTAACACAGGCTTTGGCTTGGCCACCACCACTTGAGTCTCACTGGGTCACATGCACCCCAAGTCCACTGGCTCTGAGCCAGCATAGCTGCAGGATTTGCTCAAGGACTGCAGCCTTTGTGGCTCAAAAGCCTTACAAATTTAGACCAAGCTCCAGGCTGCTTTTTGTCAGCAGGTGATGGGGCTACCCAGAGCTTTGGTTTCTGAGTGGAAGATTTCCCTCTGGCCAGGCTGGTCTAAATGCTCCCTCCATGGGCACTGGCAGAATTCTGCCCTGTGCTATCTTCCTCTGTGCCATAGCAGCTCTGTTCCCTGCACACAGATTCTCTCTCCACTTGGTGTGCTGGGGCAGCACTGCCATGAAATGGGAGACAGTTGGTGTAGGCAATGCAAGATTGTCTTTTCTGCCCTCTCCAGTGCCTCTTTCCTTGATAAAATGTTAAAACCAGGTAGTATGATCATTCACCAGATTTTGGGATCTTCTGAAGGTGCTTGATTGTGTGGATAGTTGTTGAATTTGGTGTTCATATGGAGGGACTCTCGCTGGAGGTTTATATTTAGTCATTTTGCTCCCTCCCTTGGCAGTGCTCAACAAGACTATTCTTTTTCTTGCTTTTTCTAGGCCTGGCTTCTTTTCATTCTTGAGATCTTGGCTAAATTTCCGTACCTTATAGAGATTTTCATGGACCCCTCAATTTAGCATAAATTTCTGTAATGAGTTGGGCAAAGCCACAAGTGGCATAATACTTAACAAAATTGTGGCTTAACAAGAAAAAAGTTTCTTTCCCTTTTACATGAGAGTCATGTAATTAGTCTAGATCTGGTGGTACTGCATGGAGTCAGAATCCGAGGATCCTGTGTCTTCACAGTGTGCGGCCTCTATTTTAAGTTTGTCTCATTGTTCATGAGGGCTTCTCCTATAGCAACCAACACATGTATATTCTAGCTGGCTTGAAGATAAAGGGAGAAGGGCATTTCCCCTTCTGAGGTCAATTCTAGAAGTTGGTCGTATTACTCTGCTTACTTATCACTGGTTTGAACTTAGTCACACAGTCACATTTAGCCACAAGTTAGACAATACAGGAAAGACAATCTTTATTCTGGGTGGCCACATGCTTAACTAAAATTAGGGGACAGGTTAAAATGGATACAAAGGACAACTGACAGTTGCTCCCACAAACACCTATCAGTGCTATTTTCTCATGGCACTAAGTTATAGAAGTTAAAACATTTCTCCCTCATACAAGCCCTCTTTGATCATTCAATCTAAAGTAAATGTCTATAATAGTTCAGGTTTGTTCAGTTGCAAGTAACAGAAAATTAAGTTTAAAAGTGGTTTAACAACAATTTCATTCCCTTTCACATACAAGACATGTAATCATTGCATGGTGCTCTATGGTATCCAGAAAGGAAATGAGTTAAATTATATAAGTTATCTCAGTCAGCAAATGTGGATTAAATCTGGCCTACCACCTGTTTCTGTGTGTAAAGTTTTATTAGAACACAGCTAACCTATTGGTTAAACTATTATTTAACTCACTAACTGTTTCTAACTATCCATGGAGTTGAGAAGTTGCACCAAGAGTGTATGGCCCACAACACCTAAGCTATTTACTATCTGGCCCTTTATAGAAAAAGTTTGCCAACTCCTGAGTTATATTGACAGTTTTGATAAATAGGATTTATTTAAAAGCATTACTTTCCTTGGAGCTCTAAGATTTTTGGTCTGAAAGTCAGTAGTTATAAGTATTTTAAATTCATTTCTACAGCACTCTACCCCACACCCAGTATCTTCTTTAAATTTCTGCTTTCTATGGGATGTTAGTGAGATGCAGACTTTTTAATTTTTTAACTTAACATTATCTGGCTAATCCTCATAATGTCACCTTCTAAGAATCAGAGTGCCAGAGCAGGCAGGTACCTTAGTGGTTACTGTGGTTACTGTATGGGGCACTCTGGTAGGCCACACAGATTCCCCCATCAGGATAAGACACTTATTTCCCAGCTGTTGAAGTGCTTCTGTCAGCTCTTAGCTGTCTACCTTTCTCAGAATTGCTTTGGGTAATGAGAGTCTGCTTGCCCAAAGTGAGGCATCTGTCATCCAAGAACTATTGGCATGAAGGTATAAATGCCCAGTTTCCCCTCTCCTTCCCTAGCTTGGGATATCTAGGAAGTGCCACCCCAGCTTCAGAGCTCCCATCAGGTGGCTGAGGCCATGTTGAGATTGCATTGCAGCCCAACATCTCCCTCTGCCCAATTCTACTTTCCTTCCCTTCCTTGCATAGGTTGTTGTTCCCACGAGTATACCTTGATACATTTCTTGGATATTAATCTCTACATCAGAGTCTTCCTAGGGAACCCCAACAACAAAAATAACCTAATCTAGTTTCCTGATTTTAGCTACTGAATCTTACGGACTTTGTAAAGCACAGAGTTGGGAAGAAGAGCAAGAATTTAGGGCCCCAAAGATCAGTGCCCTTTCCATAACAATATGATAACTTCTTTAATTACAAGAGAGCTCTGATCATTGTCTAATCCCTGAAACTTCTGTAAAAAGCAAAAATGTAAAAATTCTATGAATTATTATAGCCCCACTTGATATTTTGATATTATAATGTCAAGTTACTGTGACAAGCTACACCAGAATCTGTTCACTGGGTTATGATAGATGGAGTGGAATGAAGGTCATTGTTTAAACATCAATGTATCTGACTTTGATTTCCATGGATAAACATACATAAGTTTAATTCCCATAGTCTGCACTATCTAAGCTATATGATCCTGGCCAAATTTTCTAAACCATCTGAGTGTAAGTTTTATTATCTGAGAATTGGATGTCAACACTATTTATTAGAAGTATAGGAAACTTTCTTATTATTTTATTAATTTAGTTTATCTGAGAGCCATCATTTATTCTATTTCATTTTGTTTTATTCCATTAGGAATTGCTAAGAATTCTAAGAGATTTCCATCACTATAATATCTAAAGAAGAACGAGAACTCATGTGCTTGCCCTCAAGAAATCTCTAATCCACTGAGAGTCAAAAGTTGAAATATACTGGATACATGTGTAGGAGGGGAAACTGTTATATAAACTACCCTGTTATGTAACCTGTCATGTGATCTGATATATAACACTAAGCTGTCAATCACCCCCAAATGCAGGAAACAACAACCAATCCTGCCAGGGGAAAAGCAGGACAAACTAGTGGGCTTATAAAAGGCAGCATGTGCTCACACTTCAGGGTCTTTCTCCACTTATGGAGACTGACCTGTTCCACTATCTCTGCAATGTATTTTCCTTTTGTACAGCTTCCTTTACTTTCATTCTTTCTTTTATGTGATAAACTGTTTCTATTAAGTTGCTCTGTGTTTGTGATCAGTCAGTCATAGGCTCAACTTGGTGCTAGCACTCATTCTCGACACTGGGAACTGGGGACCAGGGAACCTCTACACAGAGGAACTTAACACTAATAACAACTCCCCCCCAATAGTTGTGAAAATCAGTTATGCCTCCAGACATTGTCAAGTGTTCCCTGGTAGGACAAATGGCCTCAAGTTGAGAACCACTACTATAGAGACAGACCTGTTGAAAATTACAATACGATAATATAATGGAGAGCAGTGAAAATATTGCAGAAGTCTCCGAGCCTTCTTGGGGAAGGATTCAGAGGAGGTTTGCCAGAGGAAGTTCTATTTGAACTGAGAACTGATTTGCAATTCTCAGTTTTATTGAGCAATTATCACGAGCCAGACAAAAGGTGATGTTTTACTCTCATTATCTCACATAATTCCAAACTTCAAAAGCAAACATTATTACCATTTTACAGCTGAAGAAACTCAGGTTCAAAGGGACAAAGTAACTTGCTTAGGCACTAAGCTGGTCTTGAAGGATCCAGATAGCCAAGTCACTGGGGAGCCTTAGAGTACTGACAAGTGTCCACACTGCTCAAGTTAATCCTATCACAACCACTTCCTTTGTTTATAAAAGTGCAATATCACCTCATTTTTTTATTTTTCCCATTGAATTCTGGGTTCTTGAGAGTAGGAACCATGCAGTGTTCATGTTATATCTACTTTCTAGCACAATGCTTGCAACATAGGTGTTTGATAAATGGATGATAAGTGAGTTAACATTAGTCCATGTAGGAGGATTCATTGCTAGGCACACCGGCCAACCTATAGTAGTCTTTTAGTCACTCTGCCTCATTGTTTTACTCTTGGCACCCCCACAAGTTGTAGTTGGCTGGTCTCTAGTGACTTCCTCAAACTGATTATGGCCAGTAGCATTTGCCATGGGTGAGAGCTGCAAAAGAGGAGTTCTCTAAGGAAAAAACATGCAGTATCTCTGATATTAAAATGCCTAAATGTATTGCTACTAGTTTCTACACATAATGACAATTATACACTTTTGACAGCTCCTTTGTCTCATATGATTCTTGTATCATTTTATGCAGAGCATGAAAGGTTTTTTTTCCTCTTCTTTCAATTCCTTCCCATTTTTATCCTAATTTCCATTTATTTATTTGTTTATTTATTTATTTATTTATTCTTTTGATGGTGATGATAGTGACCTTCTTCCTGTTTAGTAAACAGAACAAGGGGGAAAATGCCCTGTATTTTTTTGTTGTTGCTCCTTTTCTTTTTCCTACAACTTTTAGATCTGCTATTTTCAGTTGCTCTGAAATTTTAAGTCTATTGAATTAGAAGTTGCTCTCTGGTTTCAAGACTCTCTTTCTTCCTTTCTTTTGCTAAAATTCTGGTCTAATTAAAAAAACAGTAGATCATAGTTAAATAAAACTGTACCCAGGATAACCCTAATTTCCATATGCAGATTTATCTGCACTGACAGCCACCCCCCTTACGCGCACACACACACTCTCTCGCTCTCTTTCTCATTCTCCTTTCCCTCCTCTCCATCTCCCTATTGCATTGTGTCTGACTGATTTTTAGAGCACCTTCGCTGTTTCCCCCTTCTCATTCCCTTTCTATAAAATATCTAGACAGGAAGGAGGTGGCTGCAGAAGCTGAACAATCTTATATTCTGCCTGCAATGTCATCGTTTCTTTCCCCCATTTTAGGGGGCTGAAGTTGCCCAGGAAGGGATGCAGAGGAGCTGGAAAGGAAGGGGGGAGCTCTCCAGAGGCAGCTGCGTACAGGGGCAGGGACTGCCGCCAGATGTGCCTGCCTTTCTGGGCTTTGATGCGAAAGGGGCAGCAGGAGGAAATATTGGGAGACAAAAGCCCCGGTTTAAATGATCATTTTCTTTATTTAACATGGCAGCAGACACTCTCTGCGTAGGATCATCATGCCAAGCATAAACTGGACTTTCCCACTTGCCTGGCAGGAGTCAGACAGATCCCTGTGTGCTAAATGAGCATCTGAGGTAAGACCCACTGTTTCAGATACTTGATTTTTTTCCTAATTAATTAATGCTCTTAAATATATGTTTCAGCCTCAATCACAAAGAGTATAGTGGGGGCAAATCTGTGTTAATCTGCACCTAAAGAGCCAAGAAAAAGCAGAGGTAGAATATATTCAACTCAATTTGGGGAGGTTAGTTACTTTGTCAATTATGTGTATGCTGTTTGTTTTTTAGGAAAAATATTTGGTTTAAGGATAGACTAGTATGATCATATTCCACCACTGGTGATAATACTGATGTTCAGACTTTTAAAAAAACTTTGCAAAAAGACAGTGAGCTACAGATGCATGTGCTATATTTTTAGCTCACATACAAATATTAGAACTCTTATTAAAATGATAGTTTTTTTTTTTTTTTGCCGAGGAGGAATGAATGCTGCATAATTAAGTACAGTATTTAATTTGGCTGTTGTGAAGCAAAAGAATAAGGTAATAATTTTTATTGTACTAATCAGTCTCAAGATGTTCTCTGTGTTAATTGGGTTAAAAAAATTGCAGTACTTATTAGAAATTCTAATTTCACAATGCAGCACTGACAATAAGCTCAGCCAGTGAATTATTCACATCTTTAATTTGCTCACTTAATGACAGTGTTCTGTAATCAGAGTGCAGAGACTGCTGCCTATGCATTATGTATGATGCTCAGGACTTAAATGCAGGACATTATGAAGCTCTCAGTGGTTCAGTAATTAGTTTTCCACAAGACAGGATTTAGATATTCACAGATAAAAGTCCACAGTTGGATAATGCTAAGATTGCAACACAAAATAACAAAGGAAAGGAAGCTCAAAGTTTGGACTGAAACTTTGTCTCTAGGGTCTTGTCCACCGTGGAAACAGAATCATGCCACCTGAAATAGTTGCCTAGCTCTGATCACATGTTTGAAAACTGTTTTTGAACAAAGTTGTAGCAGGCAAGGCATTTGAACAATTTCAGTGGACCAGAGGGGGAAAGATAAAACCTTTTTAATTAGTGTTCACAGAAGCCCTGCAATATATCCTCCTAACAAGTCTGTAGTATGCATAGCAGGCATTCTCAATGTGCTTTGTAACTTAGTTAGTGCAAATGCAAATCAGGTTACAATAGTGTTTGGCTGTAATTGTGTTTATAAAAGGGTTACATGCCCAAATGGAGATTGAGCTTGCTCATGATTTTGTTCCATTTGCTTCTGAGGGAAAGTTTGAAAATCAAATGAGATATTAAGTAAATCTGGGCATGAAAGGAAGTAGATCTGAATTGTCAGTGCAACTTTGAAATTTCTAACACTTGTCAGTTTGTAGTTGTCAGTTTTTCCTTAATGATGCTAAGGTTGTTCTGTCATAAATTATATAACTTTAATGGATTACCCAGAACCATTAATGATATTTTAAAAATATATAAAAAATTTGGGAAAACATTTCACAGTATCATTTCTAAAGTTTAATGACTAACTCAAAATCTCCAAGTTTTTTTTTTAATAAAAAGAACATTTGGTAGATTATATATTTTTGAGAACTTAAATATATTTAATAAAGTCTCATTGCTTTATCATTCTTTAGTCTAAGGTTTTTGCTTATTTATAAAATCCAATAATTGATATCCAAAATCAGAATGCACGGTAATATTTTTTAAAAATGGTCCTCTATAGCTTAGAATAGTTTTTTTTTTTAAAGAAAGTTGAGAAACCTTATAAGCAAATATAGTGTTCAGTGAAAGAATGAAGGAGTCACTTTTTTAAAATTACATTCTACCATACATTCCACATTCTAAATTAAAAAAAAAGTAAACTACGTCTCCAAATTTGACTCCTAACTTCTAGAACTGAAAAGTGACTTTAACAAAATAAAAAGTTTTTCATAAATGTTTAAGAAGCTATTTTCTTGTGATACTTAGAACATACCTTTTGGGAAAGGATGCTTGGTTGGGGGCCGAATTAAGATGCTGGGCATCTGAGCAAGTGATCTGGCTTTGTCTTGGGTTTGGATCAGATTAGCATCCATGGATGAATGACAGGTGACAATCAGGTAGTGGCAGTGGTAAGTCAATAGAGTTAAATAAGAAAAGAAAAGGACACACACAAAAATAATTGGGAATTAAGGAACTTGAGTTCTACTCCCACTTCTGCCACAAAACAACTATAGATTTGTTATGGGGATAAATGAGGTAGGAGAAGTGAAAGTTTTTTGAAAATTAAAAAGCACTATATAAAAATAAGGGAGCTATTTTAAGGATTAACATAAAATGAAATGTATTTCTTTGAACCTGTTCATTATGGTAGGGATTATCATCCAGATTTGCAACACTCCATAATGCTAAAATATCAAAATATTCTCAATTAAATCAATTTAAATTTAATTAAATAAAAATTCTAGCAAAAAAGCTAGAATTTTGGAGCTCTCTTCCTCATTAAAAGTCAATTAATATATTAATCATCAATCAATAATTGACTACCCTTAACTTATGTTTTGAACACCTATGAGCACTTAAATGCTAGCAAAAATAACATGATACCTTCTCCTCATTCTTCTGAGGTGGTATCTTCATATTCCAGGTGAGAAAGCCGAAAGAAGTAACTTGTCAGCATCACCACAGCTGGTGAGTGGCCGTGATGGAATTCAACAAGCTTTAGGTCCTCAAGTCTCAACCAATAAACTATATTTTCAATTCCCAAGGCCCTCTGCTAAGTGCTGAGATAAGGTAAATTGAATGAGGTTCCTGCCTTGAAACTGCTCACAGTGGTGGTAATGGTTGCATTTCTTCTACCCAGCTCAGTTGTAGATCAACACTCTTGCTTTTCAAAGTACAATCTATAGACCAGCAGCATTGACATCATCCGGAACAAGGTGGGGATGCTTCTTAAACACTAAAATGGACTTTGAATCACTTGGGAATCTGGTTAAGATGTATCTTCTTATTCAGTAGGTCTCATGTGGGCCCAAGATGCTTTTCAATCAAGTTTCCTGGTGAGTCAGTGTTGCTGTTTGGGGAAGCCTCCATTTGGTGTGTTCTAGAATTTGTCTTGTTTCCCAGTGTGTCTAAGGCAGGTGCAGTGTGCTTCATTCCTCAGTGGCCTATTCTACCTCTGTTGTCATATCAGCCTGGTTGAGGATCTTCATTCCTTTGTTTGCATCAGAATCAACTGTGAAGCTTATAAAAATCCTGCAATTCCTCTTAGCCCCACTCTCCTAGATTCTACTTCTGGAGTGGGTCCTACCAATTTTTTTTTTCTTTTACAGAGTTTAATAGTTGAATCTGATGGGCAGCACATGCTAAGAAACTTCCCTAGGGGTCCCTGCTGTGCTCTGAACTGATGGATACCCTTTGGAAAGTGACACCAGCATGGCTTGGGTTCACGTTTGCAATGCACTGAGAGCATTTTCTCTATGTCTTTATGTTAGCAATGGGAGCACAACATAGGGACAACTTATAACTTTGCTGAGCTAGGTTCAGGAAGACTTTACTGAGTGACTGGCATTTGAATTGGATAGCCAATGAAAGAATTTGACCTTTTTTCAGGCCAAAGGAATAGCATATGCAAATTCATTGAGATCAAAATGAGAAAAGCATCTTAAATACACATCCATTTTTGACAGAAGTGTTTAACACATGGAAGGGAGGAGTAGGAGATAAAATAATAAAGGTAGGTAGAGCCTCACAGCATAGAATAGTTTCATTTAGGATTTAGATTAATAAATTCTTAGTGCTAATGACATTTCTAGATTAACTTTATTTTCTTCAATCCACTTTCAATTCATTAAAAGATATTGATTTTGAATTCCCGGCTTTTGTGGTAAAATATTTCTTGTTTATGGCAATCTCTACACCGTACATATTAAACTAGCTAAAGATTAGCAGAACATCTTTTTTTCCTCCGGATTCTTTTCTTCCCCTCCTGTCACATTTTATGAGCTTTTTCTACACACATATACACAATCTACTTATGGTTCACAGTACAATTAGTGTCCAACATAGGAAAAAGCTGTGAGAGTTGAATGAGAAAGCATGAGAAAGTACTTTGTCAACTCTTTTGCTATACAGTGTAACTTGTTGGTACACTGTTACATTTACAAGGTCATGAGCTCCTTGAGAATAATACCATATATTATTTCTTTGGATTTCCAAGGCCTTACAAGTCTTGTTAAATAAATTACTAAATAAAAATTAGCACTGCACTCCAGTCTAGGTAACAGAGTGAGACCTTGTCTCAAAAAAAAAAAAAAAAAAACCCAAACCAAAAACAAAAAAACTAAATAAAAGTTAGAAAATTAGAGAGGAAGAAAGCAATGACAAGAAAGGTTGGAAAAATAGAAAAGAGCTAAATTTGCTAGCTCTTTGAGTAGCCTCATTCACTGTCTCAGAAGTGGCTCCTGATCTCTGTATTTGAGCCCCCAGACTATGCACAGCTGGAGTGTGACCTCTAAACCCTCCCTTATTTGAGCCTGTCTCAGTAACTGACCCACTAGGGCTGGCATGTAAAGGCTCTCTTTCCCTATGTTAGTTGCCTATTGTTTCTATAACAAATAACCATGAATATAGTGGATTAAAATGACACATACTTGTTATTTTACAGTTCTGAAGGTATGCATCCCAGTACAGCTCTCAAAAGACTAAAAACAGGGTGTCATAGGCTGTATTCCCTTCTGGAGGTTCTAGGAGGGAATCTGTTCCTGTTTATTTGAATTGCTGGCAGAATTTAGTTCCTAGTGGTGGTGGGGCTGAGACCCTGTTTTCTTGCTTGCTGTCATCTTAAAGACATTTTGGCTTCTAAAGGCCACCCACATTCTTTGGCTCATAGACTCTTTCCTTCATTCCAAAAACCCACAATGACAAGTTGAGTTGCTCGCTCTCTCTTCAAAACTCTCCTCCTTCTTCCATACCATCTTCTTGATGCTCTTTTTTGCCTCCCTCTTTCAATTTCAAGGACTCATGTGAATACATTGGGCCCACCTGGATAATCTAGAATACTCTCCTCATGTAAAGATC